AGGAGGAAAGAGTGGAAAGCAGGCCTACATAGTGGGAGGGCACAGTAAAATGAACAACACACAGCAAGCTCTGTCTCGCCTGCCATGTTCTCCTATTGCCAGTAACCCCAAATTGTTATCACCTGGTCGGGCTCTGGCGCCAAGCAGGCAGGGGCAGGGTTCTGAACCTGACTGCAGATCTAAGACTTGCGGACAGAGTCTCAGGCACTGGGAGAGAGTGGGGAGCTGGAGAAGCTCTCCCATAGGCCCAGCCTGGGGGTGCTAGGAGCTGACCACAGCCTCTCCCAGCTGTGGGGCAGTGGATGGAGAAGGAGCCATCCAGCCTGCCCGGTAAGCCCAGGCAGATTTGAGACCCACTCGCCCTGGATGTGCACCCAGGAAGTTAAGGCACAGCCCCACCTGGGCACTGTGAGGAGACACCTTTCAGAAGCCTCTATGTTGGAAATTGCTGAAGGATTGGGGTTTTCTTCCAAAACGCTACAGCTGCTCTCTGGGTTCCTCCTGTCATTGCTGGGACACTGGGATGGATGGTATGGATCTTCCCCTTTTTGCCATAATTGTTTGCTACTATTGGGAGAAAATCTGAGTCAGTGACTTAGGTGGTTTGCTTACATTTGGCCACCTAACCTGGTTTGGGCATTCGTTTTGGCAATTTCTAATCTTGATTATTACTATTATTATTTTCACCTACTACCACAATTGTCTCATTGGTTAACTATGGCATAGTAACCCATAAAATGGATATACCAACATTTACTTAACCACACCCCTCTCCATACCTGATGTGTACACACAGCTCTGTGCACAAAGGTGGTTATTTGTCTAGATTAGGTTCCCAGACTGGGATTCCAACTGTAATCTTTTAGCCTTTGGTGCAGACTGCTGACCTCTTACCTGCTCTACTTTCTGAAAATCACACATCCCTTTCTGCCCCCCGGTCCAGGGCACCCCCTCTGGTCACAATCCACGGCCCCATGTGGCCCCTGGGGGTCATGCACTCAGCCAGTGAGGGCGGTGAATGTTGAGTCTGCTGAGACCTATTTCCATTCTGAGCAAAGATGAAAAGGTAGAGCAGGCCCAGGGGGCAGGAGGAAGGTCCTTTTCCAACTCACCTGTGGCCCTCTAAATGAGGGGGAGAAAGGGTTTTGTCCCCTGCACTGTGCCCCAGAGGTTTACTTCCACCACCTCCTTGTAGGTCTCCATGCTGGTGAACTCCACATCCCCCAAACATTGAGATGCCCGCATTGTTAACCAGGCCCTACAAGCCTGGACAGGAGGGGACAGAACCGCACTGATCACCGGGCTCGGCCTCCGGATATCACCCATCAGCCTGCAGGCCATTCCCCTCCTCACTTTCCTTCCTTTTCCCCATAACTTGCCAGCTTCCTGTCCAAGGCTCTCAGGACACGTTCTAGAGTCACCCAAGAATGACAGGAGATGGAGAGGCCTAAGCTGCTGGCTGTGACTGTCCCTTCAGTCTCGTGTCCAATTCTCAACTCACTTCTGCCTGCAGCGACTCTCTGACCCATCATGACCCAGCCCTCCTCCAGCCTGGAGCCCCACCTCACCTCACTCATTTCTACCCTATTCCCTCCAGTCTCATCCCACTCCCTGCACCTGGGCACCTGTTTATTCATTCCTGCCTCTGAGCCTTCACTTGTATTCTCCCTCTTGCCAGAAACCAGGGGAACCTCAGGAGTCTTCCAGGCCAAGCCCTCTCTGGAGGACCAGAGAGGGGACGCGGCGTGCAAGGTCACACAGCAAGTTAGAGGCTCAGCCAACCTTGATGTCGGGTGGGGCCCCCAGTCCAGCTCCACTCCAAGACCCTCCTAACCACTACTCCATCCTCTGTGAACCATGCACTATTGGCTGGGTGTCATGTGGTGAGCCCCTGGCACCTGGGAAGCTGTTCGTCAATATGAACAATGGACACACCTGGTCTTTGCAGGTAGCGAACACCCCTCAGCTTTGTGTGGTCCCATGGGGCTTAGTACAGGGTCAGAGCAAACATACACTCTCTGAGTGTACTTGGATTGACTGTTTCCTGCAAGGCCAGCTAAGGGCCAGATAAGTAGAGAACTGGGTGCTAGAAGGATCACTGGAGTCCGTTTAGCCTGATTACTACTCTCAGAGCTAGGGAAACAGAGGACCCAAGGGGGAAGCCTGGCTCCAGTGTGACCAGTGAGGCTGAGGCAGAGGCAGAGCTGAACTGGGGGCCGGGGCAATGAGGAGTCAGCCTTGTGCTGCAGGGCCCCCTCTGAGCTGTCTTTTGGGTGTAAGGACTGGATGGGCTGGAGCCTCAGGACGGCGGGGCCCTGCCTCTTCTTTGTGGAATGCCTCAGGATTTAGTCTCCCGTGGCCATGAAGGTGCTCCTTGCCAAGGCGTAGCCTCAAGGCAGAGCTGCCTCCTGGGGGGCTGACCCCTGCCTGTGGGAACTCTGGCCCTGCTTCACCCCTAGTTAATCATGGAAATGAGTTTGTGTAAATGACAGAGTAATTGGTCTCTAGCTTCTTTCCTTCGTGTTACCCAAATTAAAGCTTCATCAACTGACCTCTGGTGCCTTCTCCTTCAATTATGGAGAATTAAGTTCATTTATTAGAGGAAGGAAATGGCCGGTTAACAAAGTGCTCATGACGCTCTCACCCCCACTCCCCATGGCGGCCAAGCCGAAGCCTCCCGCCCCCACCCCGCTCAGCTCTCAGGGCTGACCTCACGCAGCCACTCCCTCTCCCCCCCCACCCCGACCCCGCAGACTTTCCCCTGGAAGTCTTTGCCCCACTCCTGTCACCAGGAGAAGCAGGAGGCCTCTCACCAATGGTCAAGGCTGCCAGTTCACCCTCCACCTTCCACACCATCAGCCATCCATTTTCTCTCTTATGCGACTTCCACTCCTCCCTTGCCCCGGCTCCCTCCCTTCAACATTGTACACAGCAGATGCTCAATAAATGTTTGTCAGGTGAATGCCTGTCTGTAAATACCACGTCCCCATATCCTAAAGAACTTTTTCTTAATCACGCTACCCCCTCACACCACCTTCCCTCCACGGCCAGGCTCCTGAGAACACAAGCTACACTCTCCAGTTCCCATTTCCCTGCCACTCTGGGTCCTGGCCCCATGCTGCCCCAGGGTGTCGAGGGTGGCCCATGCTAAAGACGTCTCCCTCATCCCTCACCCCCGCCATCTTCACTGGCCTCAACCTCTCCCCCTGCACCTGGTGTGCTTACACCACTTATGGATCCTGACCCTCACTCCTCCCTTGGCATTAATGATACCCAAGCATCTACTCCATCTTCCCGGACCCCTTTCTTCCACCTGTCCCCCAATGTCCTGTCCTAGTGCACCTTCCCTCAAATGCCACTCAATGCTTAGGCAGCCTCATCTTCTTTACGTTCATGGAAATTTCCAGCTGCTTTGTGTTTGATTCATATGGCACAGTACCACACAACATAAAATACATACAGTCCTTTTATCCAGCTAAAAATCAATTACATCTGACATCGATAACGAAAAAAGTTTAACCGAACTTGACCTGTGGAAGCACACTGTTCCTGGATCACAGCTCTGACGACATGGTAAGTAGCAACGGTCCGTGGACGAAGGAGCTCGCTGGGGTCCTCAGCCAGCATTCTGAATAAACTCATGACATTTCTGCTGGTCTGGGTGACGGCTGTTTTCCTGCAATGGCCCCATCACCACCTCCGAGTAACTGTTCCAATGTACCCCCGGGGAGTCATGGCTCCTCCCAACCCCACCTCCTCCTCCAGACCATCGCTCTTACCTGCATGTCCCACAGGTCCCCAACTCATCCTAACCAACCAACACACCAAGTGCCCAGTGGTCCAAGCCTGCTGCTCTTCCTCGCTAATAGTTTCACTGTCATCTTCAACTCCTCCAGCCCCTTCATCTCTTCCCCATCTACTGAGTCAAGAGTACTATTAATATTACTGAGAAAGATCAAAAGGACAGCTGCCAGGCCCTGAACTAAGCACTTTGTATCCATTCATTCTCCTGATCCTCACAACCAACCTATAAAAAAGTACAATAGATACTAAATTGTTCCATATCTGGATGAGGCAACTGAGGCTCAGAGAGGTTAAGCACCTTGCTCAGTGTCACCCAGCTAACCAGTGGACAGGAGGGCATTAAGACCCAGGTCTGTGTGAGGACACAGCCCTGGCACTTAACCCTGTGCTGCTGTTGCCTTCCTTTGCCACGTCCTTAGAATCGGTGCCTTCTTTCCTGTGTCTACAGCATTCGTTTGGGTCCCTGTTGCCTCCCTCCTATCTTGTTGGAGAAGCCCTCCCAGGTCACCCTGTCACAGTCTCTTTCCTCCTCCTCCATCCTGATCTGACCCCCTCCGGCAGGCTCCCCTCCTCGGTCAACCACTTCCTGCTCCTATGCTTCCCTTCCGGGGTGGGGCGTGCGAGGCCTCCTTTCCCATGCTTCTCACCCACTCCCCACCAAGGACTCTGCCCTCTCTGAGCCTGAACAGCCTGCCGCTCCTCTGACATCGCGGCCCCTCCTGCCTCCGCTGCTTCCTGGCTCCACTCAGCTCCCCTGCCCCTCAGCCTGAGAGCAGCTTTAGTTGAAATGCCCCTGCCGTGGTCAGATTGACATGTGTGCCTCACAGATGGACAAGCTGAGACCCTCACAGGTGAAGGGACAAGCCCAAGATCACACTTCTAGTAAGAGGCTAAGCCCAGAGTCACTCCAGTCTTCTCACTCCCAGACCAAGAGTGCCCCAGATGTAGGGTCTTCCCTGTCCATGGCATAATGTCTCCAGTGCTATAACTGTTCCTCATAGGTCCCACCATGAAGCCACGGCCTTCCACCTGGCTGGTGCCCAACCACAAACTTCTCCCCCCCGCTCATACCCCTTTGGGTGCTCAGCACACTACCAAGTACACAGTAGGCACTCAATAAATGTTTACTGAATGCAAGATAAGGGATGGTTTCAAGATCAGGCCAGGCCCACAGCCTGCTGGTTGGTCTACTCACTTGGCCTTTCCCTGCAGTGGGAAGGAGAGGGCTGGTTACAGGCTCTGGATGTCCAGTCCCTCAGAGCCCTGCTGGGGAGCAAAGGGGCTCGTGGCAGATGGCTCACCAGCTCTGATCGGACAATGCCCTTCGTCTCACCACCACGGCTGGCTCCCCTGGCTTTGGCAGCAACTGTTCCACAGAGCCAGGGTGAAAGGCATCACACTCGCCATCAAAATGTGCCCTCCACGGTGCAGGCAATGGGAGTGGGGAGAATGCACTTGTCTCCCGGAAGGTTCCTGCTGGGATCGATGGGTGGAGTACTGAGTCAGAGCGGCCACCAGCTTAGGAAAGGCATCTGGTCTGAAAGCTCAGGGAGGGCACCACCTGGAGGTCAAAGACAGTATTGCCTGAGAAGGCAGGAATTTGCACTGTTTTACCAGGAAGAAGACAGTTGGGAGGCGGGGCAGGAAGGGAGAGAAAGAGGGAGAGAGAGACATGAGCAGCCACGTATCTGACAGATTTATTTTCTTTTTCAGACCCAAAAATCTTTACATCTTTCTTCCAAAAAATGCAGTATTGGTTAAGTAAGGTCATGGTGAGTGGTTTAACAACAACCCTTCCTGAAATGCATCGAGCGGAAAGAAGCAGCAGGGAAAGGTTTGTGTGTCGGGGTGGTGCTGGGGTTTGAGCCCAATCCAAGGGCAGGGGGTGAGTGCTTCCCTCTGCAACCCAGCGTTCTCCCCGCCTTGCCCGGTTAGGCTAACTGGCCAGACTAGTAGAGGGAATGGAGGTGATTCTGCCCTGGTGGCAGAGGACAACAAGAACCGGGGTCTGTGTACTCAAGTGCGTCCCTTAAGAGGTGCCCAGTTGTTCCAGCTACAGTTGGAAATAAGGGCATCGCCACCTGTCCTGACCTGCTCAGGTTAATGCAATGAGGAAATTGCTTTTTAAAAAACCCTGTTATATGACAAAGCTCTATGCAAATTCAGGTATTATTAAACAGGAGAAAAGTGTCATTCACTCAGCAAACATTTCTTGGGTCTCTGTCATGTTCCAGCACTGTGCTAAGAACACAGACACAAAAATAAATAACTCAGCCTCAGTTCTCAAAGAGTCAAGTTTTAGGGAAGGAGGCAGATGGGTAAGCAAAGAATACGGGGTGACTTTGCTGTATGAAAGCTTGTGGGAGGTGGGAGGCTGCACAGAAGGTGGGGTGGGCAGGGAAGAGCCTCCAAAGGCAGTGCCAGCTGAGGACATTAACCAGAGGGGGCCTGGGG